CTCAAGGTCCAAAGTGCACTTCCCTGCTGTGATTGGTCTACTTTTTCTTTTTTCGCTCAATTTAGCAGACGTTAGTGGGGCGGGAATGCGTGACGAACCCCTAAAGAACGTCTGCGTGGAAAGCTGATGTCAATTTTGCTTTAACTTGTTAAAAGGCTTTCCTTGTCTTGTCTGGAAACTGATGCGATGGAGCCTATTGCAGCCTTTTCCTCAACCTTTGGGCTCCAATCGATAAATCAAATTGATTTTTCTTCTTTAAACAATTGTTAAGCGAAACTGAGAGAAATTAAGTTAGGCATATTGAAAAGCCAAAACATGACGCCTCCATCCCTTCAAGGCCCTCTTATAATTCTAGTGGAGCGCGAAAAACAGTCAGTGTGATGGTGTTGCTGCCGTGTTGACAGTGGTGTGCAAACGGATGCAACAACTCCCAACAACACGCCGAGAAAATGCATCAGGGTGTGCGCAAACGGACACAACATGTAACATCCAACAATGGCGGTTGCGTCCGTTTGCGCGGGGCTTGGCATAGATAATGCAAGATACACATAAAATAGAAACGACTGCGTCGTAAAGGTCAGTTTTGCAAGGTATTTTTCAAATTGTGTTGTTTCAGAATCAGGTTCACACCTCGAAGTACTAAGTCAGTTCAATATCAAAAAGTTTGTATGCGACAGACGATCTCTAACAGATTAATTTTGCAGTTCATATTTTCAATCATTCTTCACTTAGGCTTAGAGCAATTATAAAGCGTAATTATAGCGGGAAACAAATATCTATTTCGGAAACTCTTTGTAAAGCGTTTGACGTTTAAGCACGTTTAGCCACTTCCGACAATATTGCCCATCACTGACACTACACTGCACACAAAAGAACTTGAATAAATCCCTCACAATCGCGCTAACCAACCATACTTTTGTGAAAATTCCATTATATTATATCCTGTAAAATTTTATTTGAATGGCCTTTGACATCGTACTGATTATAGGATTTTGTATTAAAATTCAAAAGTAAGCTGCTTGTAATAACACCATATGAAAGAATCAGATCTTTTATTTGAATGAAAAGCATACCCGATCTAAATTCAGACATAAAAATGCATCGTTGCCGAACTTTTCCATGATTCGGCCAGGTGTATGACAGTTATTAGAAAAAGTAACAGACAATGAAGGACAGCTGGCATTGTTTTAAATAACTATCCAACAGACACTCTTGTCTAAAGACTCGTTAATCATAAAATTATGGTAGTCAGATTTAGTCTTAATTGTGTTGGTTTACCCAAAGATCCGATCTCTTTAAAACCCAAAGCTTCCATTTTCAAATATTTCCATTAACGTCAGTAAAGTCCTGGGTCTCGGATGAACGGGTTTATCAATCATGGATTATTGATCAGAATAGAAGGTCACAATTCGAAAAGTTTCGGAAAACCTTCTTGTAGTCATCCAATTTAACTTATCAATAACATTTCATTAATATAATGGGCTTTGTCAGAGACGAAGAATTTAGAAAATTTTTTTATAGCGACCTTGATCATAAGCAGTTAAAAATACACAACCACACGGTAGAAATTATAAGTCATCAGCATAGATAAATTTACTGATCTAACCGGTCGAAACCATATAAGATACTAATTTTACTTTTTTCCCATTTTCACTGGGAAATAAATACGCATATTTTGAGTTATCACCAGACCACTCAAAAAATATAAATATTTAAAACACACAACCGAATTATATCCGTCGCGAGTTTAGAATATTTGCACGCATGGTTTTTAAAAGGGCTTTCGGCCTTGTCAACCATTTAGAAAGTACATTGTCTGCGCTGATCCATGACTTAATTCTAGATACAGCTGTGTTGCTCTGGTCATCAGCACAAAAAATAATAATACGCTTTGTACCAACAAGACAATTGCAGGGCACGATATTTATCTTTTAAGGCGAGTTAGGGTTAACAGTGGAACTCTACTGTGACAGTGAGATCTCTCACTGAAGCATTTGACACTTACCTTGAAGGCGTATTTCATCAATCCTTGTTCGTGTAATTTGAAGGCAGGGCCGGCATGCTTTAACCACAGTTTGTAGAGTTCCTTGGAGGTTACTCCATGGTATTCGAGGGTAGTCTCAAAAAAATATAGCAACGACATCGTAGGGTGTTGTGGTTAAAGCCACTTATACTTATAATCCAGAAACTTCTTTGCCTCAAGTTGTGAGTAGCCGGCTGTGGAGCGACAAATAAAACTATTTGCCAAGCCCTTCTTTCAGACGCGTTCTAGACTGATAGTAGGGGATACACCGCGCGTGTGATAAATTATCATCGAATTAAGTTCCGCTCTTAGTGCAACCAATAAGGGCCTTGAAAAAGGTGTCTTTTATTGACAAGGTGAAAGGTGCATAAAAGTAAGTAGAGGTAGATAATTGTATTTTTTTCTTTAATCTCTAACGTGATTGGCTACAAGCAGGCAAAGAGTGTGTTTCTTCAATACCTTTTTGTCTTGTTCCTGTCTTTCGTTTTTTTGTTGATGAAGAGTGTCGGAAGTGGAAATAATGCCTTACATACTCATGTTTGTCAAAATTCATGGATTTCAAATCACAAGTGAGTCGGAAATGCACATACAATGGGAGGCATTTATAGCTTTTACAAAGACTTCACAGTACATGCTGTTTTACTTTAATTAAGGACAGTATGAAATTAACAGAATGTTTGTGGTGTTTTTTATCAAATGATATTGTGTCTACCTCTCAATGAGGGCTTGAGGAAATATACGATCTGCCATTGTTTGTGGTTCTTGAGACTAAAAACGCAAAATAATCTCTGCGCAAATATTTTGCCTGGGGTATTTGTACCTTCTTAGTGAAGACTAACGTAATATCTTCGGGATTTGCCGAGCAACCCCCAAAACCCTGAAAGAAGAAACTTTTTATGCTAATATACAGAAAAAAATATTGAACGATGCGTTATCTTTGCTGTTTCAATGACTAACTTGTCTCTGGGATTGCTCACTGATATTTTTTGGCGTATTTTTATCTAGGATTTCGAAGCTTTTGATATAAGATAAGATATATTTAAGCTTCTTTTCCATACAGCGTCTGTGCTTTTGCCAACAACACGTTGGCTTAAGCGCAGTCGATTTGTACCACGTGATTGTAGGGAGATAATAACTTATGATAAGAAGCTTGTGTCGCCGCGTTGATGTGAACATCAGCATGACAACATAAAAAAGTAGATGGCGGGGGAGACTCTCCTTATTGTGTTTGCCTTCATCTTGTTTCTTTTACACAGACGACGACGACGTACGTTAAAGCTTCAAAACAATTTGGGGGATTTCAGAGTTTTTTTTTTTTTTTTTCACGGAGACGCTCTGATTGGTTCTTTGTTAAGTCGTTATTTTGAAGGCTGTTCACTCTTATGTTAACCTTGCATAACCGAAACATAACGACATGAAGAAAAGATGAGTTTTTTCCCTTATGTCGTTATGTTGTTATAATGTCGTAATGTCAGCATGTTCGCACTACAAACATAAGAACATAATCACCTTTTTATGCCGTTATGCTTATGTCGTTATGTCGCAAGTGTAAACCAGGGTTAAAACGATGTCAGTGCATGCTTAATAAAAGGGTCGGAAAAAAAAGGATCAACTTCAGTCTCTGATAGTCGTCTCTTGAAGGTCCATAGATATGGCGAACAACTTTCTCAGATGTTAAAGTAACTTGAAGCCCGGGGAAGAAGGAAAAAAGGTTAATCCATACCTTTAATTGGAAAAAGTGTCATCATGCATTAGAGTGTTTAGATACCACCACCAGGCTTTCGGCGGTTCATTGTGGGATTTTACGATTCTCATAGTGCCCGGTAACACAAAAGAAATTTGCAGAAGTTAAGCAAAGTTCTTAAATAAAAGGCGACGTTCTTAAATTCGCTTTTTAACGACAAAAAAAAAATAAAAGATAGTTGCACTAACTTAATATTTATTACGAAACATCTTTTAGTAAGTTTCCACTAAAAGGGTAAATGAAATCCCACTCATTAAATAAAACGAAAAAGCTTTAGACTTTTTAATTGCGGTGGATTATGGGTTAAGAATCTGATATGACTTACCCCGCATTAATATGAGTACCCATTACCAGGTGATAATAGGCTTACACTTATCTTATGTTAGGGGTATGAGTGTTGAAGAAAAGTTAACTAATTTTTTCGTCGTGTTTTGTGCCAAACGTTTCGGTGACCAAGACGTCATTCTTTGGGGTCCGTACAAACATTCGCTTGTAATCTTTGTAAATCGACCCTCCCTCCGAAAGAGTAGGAAAACCGCCTCAAGTCGCCGATACTCTGTGTTACACACACTTGTTGAATTTTGTGAAGAACCCCGTTGCTGCCGAATTTCGTTGCTGTTTCGTTTTTGTTTTTGGTGACAACGTGCATTTGCGACTTTTAGCTTCTTCTTTCGATCAGTAGTTGAATTTCTACATTACAAATAAAACACTGATAAATAACTCAGAATTAAATGTTATAACTTTCTTTGAACTTCTATATACTTTAATTGTACTTTTTTACGGCGAGGCCCGGCCGTTGAATAGATCTTTGTGACGAAGCAAAGACTTTATAAAAGTTGAAACTTTCACACCATGAACATATTCAGAGGGCCAAGTCTTCTTTCTTCATATTCCTCAAGACAGGGAAAAAGAGCCTGGAAACGACACTGAGGCAAGTCAAATGGCGGCAAAACAGTCAAGTAGCGCCGTCAAGTGGAGCGCGGAGAAATTTGGCGAGCGCGTGAAATGATAAACACGTGCCCAAACAATTTCTTCAAGTCAGCCGTAGATATATAGAACCAAATCTTGACAGGACATTTAACACGGCCAGTTGTACACGTTTTTGATACTTTTACATTGTCACATCATTTTGATAATTTCATTGGCCTAATGTTTCTAATTTTTGTATCTGGGAGAGTGGTTCGCGCAGGTAACAGAGATGTTCCAAAAAACACTTCAAACCATTCTCATTTTTCACAGCTTGGCGTCATCAGAACTACTGGACTGTGGTTTAGTGCCATTAGAAATACTCCTTGAATGCGGTTCGTTAAGAACTTGTTGGTCACTCGGATGATCACTTCTGAAGGCGCCACCTTTAAACCCACATCTTAACAGTTTTTTGTAAGTAGCACGAAACTCAGGCATACGAAAACAGTAAATCCACGGATTCATTGCTGAATTGCTAAGAGCCACTGTCCTGGCCCAGTTGTAGGCCACTCCAACATTACTCTCGGCGTAGGCAGAGCGAAGGTACATTAAGGGAACCCAACATATTGTGAAGACAACCACGACAATCGCTATCGTGACTGTCACGCGGCGTTCGACCATGTGTGACGAACCGTGTCTTGCGTGACCAGCTGTTGATGCTCGAAGGGTTTCCGTTTTTCGACTCCACACTTTAATGACGATCAAGGTATAACAAATTATTATTGTGAGATAACAGAGCGCAGCAGCAATGACTGTAAAGTAAGACGTCACTTTCTTGGCGATGGTCATGCGTAATACCCCGTAAATCACGGGTACAGTCCACGCGATTGCAACCACTATCTTGAATCTTCTTATCGTCCGAATCTTTTTACACTCGATCGGTCGAACAACAAGTAAACAGCGATCAACACTGATAAAACACAAGTGGAGTACTGAGGCAGAACAGGACATGTTACCCACAAGACGAAACGTCTCCGACACTGGTTCGTTACATTCACGCTGCAGCTGAAGACCCCAAAAAGCTACAAGTAACGGTTGACCAATAGCTGTTACCATTAGATCTGCGACTGCCATGCTCGCCAGCCAGAAGTTTGAAATTGTCTGCAAGGTTACGTTCGTATAGACCGTTGCAATTACCAAAGTGTTTCCAATCGTCCCAATAAAGATCGACAAAACATTGATTGGAATTAACGCAATGATATGCGCCACTGGCAATAGACATGAATCTGTTCCGTTTGTCGAGTTAACATTCATGACGTAGCGAGGAAAGACCCAAATGGTCCTGAGAAAGTATTAATAGACCTCAATACTACTTTAGTTTAACATGAACTTACGTGGATCAGCTCTGTACATATGAACGTGATGAGATTTCAACAGTACGCCTTTGCATTACCCAATTGGATTGACAGACAGGAAAACGATATCGTTTATCACGTGTAAGTGCTGAAACCTAAAGTAATAGTACGTGCATTATCACTACCGCTTTCGAAACTTCATGCCTCTGAGATGATGTAATTCAGTTCTAAAAATTATTGAGCACAGCTAGCAGTCAACCTGGGTACTATTAATACCCTTTTCAGTTATACAGTCATTGGAACTCCGTTAATACGGTCACCAATTGGCGGGTGACCGTATTAGCCAGAGGTTTTTCTAAGAAATGTAGGCAAGAAATGTATGGCCGTTTTGCCAAGCGGAAGGTGACAAGGTGACCTTATTACCCAGGTGTCTGTAAGGCGGGGTTTCCCTGTATTGACAAATGGTACCTTTTCAAATTTCCGGCGATGAGAGCTGTTAAAATTATTTGTGGGAAATCCCAGATGATCGTAGACTTTACTGTTTTCCAGCCCTCCAAGATGGTCGGGAAAACCATGCCACATTTTGCCAAGTAATGGAAACACTCCATATNTTAACATGAACTTACGTGGATCAGCTCTGTACATATGAACGTGATGAGATTTCAACAGTACGCCTTTGCATTACCCAATTGGATTGACAGACAGGAAAACGATATCGTTTATCACGTGTAAGTGCTGAAACCTAAAGTAATAGTACGTGCATTATCACTACCGCTTTCGAAACTTCATGCCTCTGAGATGATGTAATTCAGTTCTAAAAATTATTGAGCACAGCTAGCAGTCAACCTGGGTACTATTAATACCCTTTTCAGTTATACAGTCATTGGAACTCCGTTAATACGGTCACCAATTGGCGGGTGACCGTATTAGCCAGAGGTTTTTCTAAGAAATGTAGGCAAGAAATGTATGGCCGTTTTGCCAAGCGGAAGGTGACAAGGTGACCTTATTACCCAGGTGTCTGTAAGGCGGGGTTTCCCTGTATTGACAAATGGTACCTTTTCAAATTTCCGGCGATGAGAGCTGTTAAAATTATTTGTGGGAAATCCCAGATGATCGTAGACTTTACTGTTTTCCAGCCCTCCAAGATGGTCGGGAAAACCATGCCACATTTTGCCAAGTAATGGAAACACTCCATATCTGAAATAATAAATAGAATTCTTTATTAAAATCTTATAAAAATCTTATAAAAACTACACACAAAACTTCTGTAAAATATTCATAAAAATAAAACGTCCACATCAATATTATATAAATACAAATTTCTGGCAAAATCCCTTCACAATTCAGAATTCTAAGATACTAATTAAAAACTAAATATATGTCCACGATAGAAAACTACTTACAATTGTGAATACTTTAAGAGTGGGAAAAGGAAAATCAAGCATTACTAAGAAAAAAACTATCAAAAATCTAGGCCTAAAATTATGAATACAGACGGTAGACCAGCTGCAGCGAAAGTGAAGTCTCTAAATCTGAATGAAGTCTGAGATGGTCAGGTACAAATCGGAAGAATCCGAAGCGTCTCCATTCCAGATTATTGCGATGCTTAATGATCATTATATCAGGGGCACCCAACGTCAATTTTTGGAAAATATCTGTTCGGAAGACGATTTGAGATCTAGAATTTTCGGAACATTTGTTGAAAAATTTCTTCCTTGCCTCTCGTAGGATTTTCGAACATCTAAAAAATGGTATAATTGCCTATTTTTACCCTTAAAAGGTCACCTAGAATTTTCGGGAGCCTTTTTTCTGGCTGAAACTTTCGAAAAGGTTTTGATCCCTATAATTTTCGGATCACTAAACTTTCAGCTAGGAAATCCGGACAGATGAAAAATTTTTAGGGGATAAAAATATGCCTATATCTACCGTTTAAATACTAAAATCAGGGGCACCCAACGACAATTTTCGGAAAATATCTGTTCGGAAGACGATTTGCGTTCTAGAATTTTCAGAACATTTGTTGTAAAATTTCTTGCTTGCCTGCCTCTCCTAGGATTTTCGAACATCTAAAAAAATGGCATAATTGCTCATTTTTAACGGATTTTTACCCTTAAAAGGTCACCTAGAATTTTTCGGGAGCCTTTTTTCTGGCTGAAATTTTCGAAAAGGTAAGTTTTCTTCAATATAATTTTCGGATCACTAGACTTTCAGTTAGGAAATCCGAACAGATGAAAAATTTCCAGGGGATAAAAATATGCCTATATCTACCGTTTGAATACTAAAATACGTTTAACAATGCTATGTTTCAGTGGTTTTGATTTATCTTCTCGTTGGGTGCCCCTGCCCCGACATACTGTCAAAACAGAAATCTGTTCCGCTGATGAGGATGTCGGGGATCGATAGGCATCATTTTTGCCGAGAGAGGATAACCAGGACCCGCTTAGCTCTGACTAATCTCTTCCGTCCTGAAACAGAATGGAATCTATAGGACAAACGGTTAGGGTTTCCCAACAAACGGCAAAATCTGGGGTGATCGGAAAGCAGTGACAGCCGCCTGGACTGATTCCTAAAAACGAAATTCGAAATCATATCATAGACGGGTTACAAGCGGTCACAAGAGATAAAGCCAAAAATTTGTAGGCCCGGGCCTACAGGTATGTATAGGCTGGCTACGCCCCTGACTCGCCCAAACTCTCTGACAGTTTCAATGTCCAAATCGTTCGCACTGCAAAATACACCTGCTCTGCAGGCTANTTATTTTCTAAAATCATACTAGTACATTACAGCTGCATTGCAAGAATCATATTTGAAGCAAAAAAAGCAGATTGCCATTGTTGTAAAAATGTTTTTTAAAGAAAAATGAGTGCAAGATATGCAGACTTACAAAGCATACTAACTACTTTTTCCTCCAGGATTAAGAACCCATTTTAAGAACCTAAATAGCCTAAAATTCTGCAAACTACCATTTATATAAGAACCTGTTTAGGCTAACTCCTAAAAATGTAGGTTCTTAGTTGCGGGTTTTTACTGTATATATACTTCCTGTGAGGTCGCTCACCAAAGGTCCGGTCGTTCGAGTTGCCTTAAGTAACAGTCGTTGAGAAAGGTCTGGCCGGTTGCTGGGTGTATTTGGCTCTGGTAGGTAGGTAAGGGGTGGTGCTTCCCGTACCCCTCCCTGTCCCTCCAATTGCAGAGTTCCGTTCCAGATTCCTGCTCTTACTTGATCCAGAAGTCTAAACGGCACGCTCTGATAATGATGTGACTGGCAAATGGCATGCCGGTTCCCCGAGCTGAAGTTAATCGACGAGGAATCATCCGGTTTATCACATCTTTGATGATGGGAACGCAAGCAAGACCTCTGGTGGCTCGTACTCCCATAATTCAACTCCCTCCTGAACTTCAGAAAACGATGAAGGAAGCTTCAAAAGACTTTGAAGTGATAAATATCGATTTGGATCAAGTCACAAAAGAAATGGCCCGCAGAGTCGAAGGATTGTTACTCTACATGCCGGTTAATTTACGAATTAATTCAAAGGTGATGGATTATTTTCCCAATCTCAAAGTTATCAGCAACTGTGGAGTTGGTATTAACCACATCGATGTAGCAGCCGCTACTGAACGTGGAATTGCCGTCGGGAATACACCAGATGTTCTTACTGACTGTACGGCCGATTTGGCGTTCTCGCTTTTGTTGGCTTCCGCTCGAAACGTTGTAGAAGGAGACAGGATTGCAAGAGGTCCAGAAACAAAAGAGGTAATTTTGCTGATTAAGTCAAAGAAACGGTTGTATTGTATCTGAGAAAATGTTTTAATTTGTTTTGTATGTTTGCGCGGTCGTTTTGAGGGTACGATTTAATTTGTAATCGCGTGACTGCTTAATTTACGTCTGTGGTTCGAAAATAGTAGGAAATGTAACCACGAGTTTCTATTTTTCAGAATGATTTTGATTAAAATATTTTTAGGTTTTGGTTTCATCATAGTCGTTTTTCTTACATTGCAAACTTAATTTGTAGAGTTCAACAGGCTGATTTATATTTAATAGGCATTCACCGCGACTTGCATTTATCACGAGATATATTCATTTGGCCCACATTTGTAGCCTGCCGTGTACAGACGGGAACGCGTGACGAACCCCTAAAAAAGTCTGCGTAGGATGCTATGACGAATTATACAAAAGGGAAAGCAAGATACTCTATGAGGAGCTTCAGGCATAATATAATGTCTGCATAATGCTAATATTTTCTTTGAAAAGTCATATCAAAGACTGTAGCTTGGGTGATTATTTAGTCGGTGCGAGAGGGAATTAAAGGGCATAACCCCTTCAGCCGAGCATAATTTTAAGCATAAGATCATGGTTTCATGAGTGACGCTGAAAAGCTTAAAATTCGATTTTAAGAGCATAATCCGTGAGGACTGAGGAACGACAGCTTAATAAAAGCTTATACGAATGACCATGAAATTGACATTTCGCACAAAATCAAAGATGTTTAACGCTTTTAGGCCCTAAGAGTGATCAGCGTCAAATTTCTCCTTGTAATATCAATGCTTTGTAAAACAGAGTGGTCATGAGAATTACGGACAGGATCACACAAGAATTTGCTTGATTTTTCTGTAGGAAATGAAAAGGGGCAACAAATGAGAATTCAAATTTTGATCTTAGGGTTTAAAGGGTTAAGTGGCAAAGCAAACTCTTTCCTGCGGTCCGCTGGACCCTGGGAAGAGTCTCTTTTATCAAAGAACTGACGAATGCTTTTTTACGATATCTTCTTATGTAACTTATAATGAATATACTAATAATCCATATGACTACCGGTATCGAAGAGTGCAGGGTTCGAATCCCGGCAAGCCTGGATTTTTTAAGGCTTTCTTTATCAACTGCATAAGTTACGTCTTCAACTGCGATGATCTTCTTTCCATTTATATCTTCAATTTATATGGATACGTTGTTTTATTTTTTTTTGAATAGTTTCTTCATTTGCATGGCTATTTTGGAAGTAAAGTTAGTAGATCAACCATTGGCATTGTTGGCTTGGGAAGAATTGGTAGTGCTGTGGCAAAACGAGCAAACGGCTTTGGAATGAAAGTTCTTTATCACAACAGAAACAGGCGTAAAGCAGATGAGAAAAAACTTGGTAAGATACTTTGTTCGTGTACAAGATGCTCCCCTTTTGAGGACATCTCCTTCAATCGTTCAGTCCGCTACCCTTTTTAAAGCAAGAACCTGATTCATTTCGTTTTGCATACAGAATTGTGTTGTGGAATATCCAATAAGCATGGAATTAGATTTTTTTGTGGAAAAGATTGTTGGTTCCACATACAGTCGACTCCTGAAAACTCAAACCCTCGCTAACTCGAACATTGCGTTACCTCGAACGAGACTCGATTTTCTCCAGAATTCCTGGAGTTCATACATTTACTGTACTTTTACCCTCGATAAATCGAACCTCCCGCTAACTCGAAGTTACTTTTGTTTTCCGTCAGATCATTTCCATATAATTTTACCCGGCCTCGATAACTCGAAACATATATTTTTTGTGTGTTTATTTCAAGCCAACCGTGTGCTCTTTATCTTTGTCTTTTTCTGTTAGTCTTTTTTTTTGTCAAGCCCTGTATATTGATCAAGCTTTGTTGCTTAATTCCTCTTTCTAAATATCGACGTATCTCTTGCTGTCCTAGAAGTGTGGTGTGCATGATACTAGAACTCCTTCTCCGTCCCATTTCATTAGTTTCCTTCTTCCGGTTATTTGCTTTGAACTCCCGATAACTCGAACTTTCCCAAGATTTAGATTTTCCAAGAAGGTGGCGAGTTAAGGGGAGTCACTGTAGTAAATCGTAAACCCTGTTTTAGAGTCAAGACCGGCCTGAAAACCACATACCCATTTGTTTAGGCCAAAGAAGGCAATGCCCCGCTAGATGACGACCAACCATTGAATTGAATCAATTTATTCTTCAACCGAATCGGAGCAGAGGAAAAATGTTCTGATGATCTACCTTACTTTCCAGATGCCCATTTTTGCACCACGTTGGCAGATCTGTTACCTCAGTCAGATTTTGTAGTACTATGTACACCGCTTACACCTGAAACGAGACACTTGATAGCAGCAAAGGAGCTGTCCCTAATGAAACCAACAGCAACATTGGTTAATATTGCACGTGGAGGAGTTGTTAATCACGATGACTTGACTGACGCATTGAAGAATGGAGTGATAAGAGCCGCAGCGCTTGACGTGACAGAACCAGAGCCTCTGCCGAGAGATCATCCATTGTTGAAAATGGCGAACGTTACTTTGACGCCACACTTTGGATCAGCAACTGCAAACACGAGAATGAAAATGATGGAGCTGGTTGTGATGAATTTACGCGCTGGCTTAAATGGCGAGGAGCTACCTTTTGGGGTCAATTGATAAGAGTAAGGTTTCTTGTAGCCTTTTAACTATATTCTCCGTAATTCTTGCGAAAATTAGAACGCACAAAAGTTAAACAGTAAAATCGCGAAATTTAGTACAACATTATAATGTAAAACAGTCAAAGATTTATACAGTAGAACCTCGATGACTCGCACTCTGATAACTCGAATTCTCCGCTAACTCGAACTAAATTTCCTTTCAGCGTTCGACCGGGGTTCTACTGTAGTTCCTCTGAGTCTCAGAAAAAATAACTTTTTTGTTCACTTCGAATTTTGGTATAGTTTTCTTCCCCTGTTCGATTTAAAAAATAGTATTTTTTGAGCAACAAATTTCTCAGTTCCTTGTTAAGCAAATCTGTGTATATAATTAAAAAATTGAAGAAAATATCACTAAGACTAATGATTACTTGAGGAACACAAACTTGATTTCAAAGAAGTCTTTTCTTCCTTACTGTCACTAATGGCGGACAGTTTTTAAAACTGCGTTTTGGAAATCATTCCGGATTGAGTAAGTGAAGGCCTCGAAAATAGTTTAATGTTAGGGGCTGTTTAACAGTGTAAAAAATTGGGAGACCGAGACGAAGGGTTTCCTTGGCGACTTAATAAGTAACCTATTAAACTTTGGAAACAAATCTCCGAACAGTCAAACGCGATGGGGGAAACTTCTCTTTTATTGTTTAGCCTTGTGACTGTTTAGTTTTATATCACAGATTCACAGAAGATGTCAAAATGTGGGAGGGATTTACAAAGCTTTGTCCTTCTTTTAAACTTCTTAACAGCAGCGTTAACATGCGAGCAAGCACGTGGGAAGTGTGCTAGGAATAGGCGAGGGGATTGTGAAGGGTCGGTGGGGTCGAGAGCGACGCCTTTTCCCTCCCTTGAACAGAGCTCACTCAGNACTAAGACTAATGATTACTTGAGGAACACAAACTTGATTTCAAAGAAGTCTTTTCTTCCTTACTGTCACTAATGGCGGACAGTTTTTAAAACTGCGTTTTGGAAATCATTCCGGATTGAGTAAGTGAAGGCCTCGAAAATAGTTTAATGTTAGGGGCTGTTTAACAGTGTAAAAAATTGGGAGACCGAGACGAAGGGTTTCCTTGGCGACTTAATAAGTAACCTATTAAACTTTGGAAACAAATCTCCGAACAGTCAAACGCGATGGGGGAAACTTCTCTTTTATTGTTTAGCCTTGTGACTGTTTAGTTTTATATCACAGATTCACAGAAGATGTCAAAATGTGGGAGGGATTTACAAAGCTTTGTCCTTCTTTTAAACTTCTTAACAGCAGCGTTAACATGCGAGCAAGCACGTGGGAAGTGTGCTAGGAATAGGCGAGGGGATTGTGAAGGGTCGGTGGGGTCGAGAGCGACGCCTTTTCCCTCCCTTGAACAGAGCTCACTCAGGCTACAACTCAATGCTGATATTATTTTTCCTCCCAGGACCTAATAAAAGTACCCTATCTCTACTCATTATAGTTACAGAAGCTTCCTTGCAATCCATACTCCCTTAGAGTTCTCCGCAGAGCCAGGGTGAGCCAACCCATTATCTTGAGGATATACCTTAGCACAGTCCGGCCAGTTTTAGAGTATGCTGTACCAGTCTGGCAGAACATCCCTGCTTACCTGTCCGAAGCCATAGAGCGAGTGCAAAAAATGGCGCTTAACATAATCTACCCCGAGGCAGAGTCATATGCTCATGCCTTACAGTTAGGTAAAGTAGATAGGTTAGATAGGTTAGTACTCTTGTGCTACAAATATATGGCGAAAATGAAGTCCCCCAGCCACCCTCTGCACCACCTACTTCCCAGCCCACTTCTGGACGCGCCTAACTACACCTTAAGGCAGAAAACACAAAAGTATTGTCTTTTCCGGAACATGCAGGTCTGTAGGACAAAGAGAGCGGAGGACTTCTTTACATTTAAATTTTTTAAGTTATTCAATTGTTATTTTCATTGTTATAACTGTAAATTACTATACTCAAGATAATAGTTGCCTTAAGATTGTAAAATGTACTCGATAATTCAGTTCTTTTTACTGCAAGAGAGTTTTAATAAACTATTCAAACTAATTGGCTAAGAAGGAAACTGAGCGTTAGGACGCAATTTAAAGATTGACTCAAAGACGCCATCGTCTTTCTCATTACCCTTTGTCGGTCTTTCTACAGTTAAGAGATAAATCTTGGGACAAACAAAGTCTAATAGGTTCCAAAATAACAATTCAAAGGACACGAGCAATACTTTTATATTAATGTGCCACTACTGCCGACAGATTTAAGCTAATCAGCTAAAATCTAAATTAAAACCTATGCCCTACAGTACAAATACGATTAATAATACCAATACGTATACGCTAGCAATGGTATTGGAACGACTTTCAAAGCTGTTTTATTAAACATGAAAAATCAGCAACAAAACATGATTATAGTCAGTGATTTTCTGAGATCCTACATGTTAACTGTCTTGCTAGAAAAATGTACGTACATACAGATAAAGGATACCTTACACATTATTTTTAAAACTAATGGCATTGATATTTGTCGTAGACCTTATACTTTTAAGTATAAGGTCTTTTAAAAAAGTGCATCTTTATTCACTTCCTGTGTGAGGACACTCAGCGACCAAGGACCTCAGACAAGTGAAATCCGGTCATTCGAGTTGCTTTAAACAAATGAACTCCAATCGTTGAGAAAGGTCTGCCCGGTTGCTGGATGTATTTCGCTCCGGTAGGCAAGGGGTGGTGCTTCCCGGCCCTCCCTGTCCCTTAAATTGTAGAGTTCCGTTCCGGACTCCTGCCCTTATTTGATCCAGAAGTCTAGACAAAAGGCTCTGGCAAATGGCATGCCGGTTCCCCGCGCGAGCTAAAGCAAATCGTCGAGGAATTATCCGGTTTATCACATCTTTGACGATGGGAACTCAAGCAAGACCTCTGGTGGCTCGTACTCCCATAATCGAACTCCCGGCTGAACTTCAGAAAACGATTAAGGAAGCTTCAAAAGACTTTGAAGTGATAAATATCGAGTTGGATCAAATCACGAAAGAAATGGCCCGCAGAGTCGAAGGATTGTTACTCTACACTCCGGCTTATTTACCAGTTAATTCAAAGGTGATGGGTTATTTTCCTAATCTCAAAGTTATCAGCAACTGTGGAGTTGGTATTAACCACATCGATACAGCAGCCGCTACTGAACGTGGAATTGCCGTCGGGAACACACCAGATGTTGTTACTGATTGTTCAGCCGATTTGGCATTCTCCCTTTTGTTGGCTTCTGCTCGAAACGTCGTAGAAGGAGACAGGATTGCAAAAAGTCCAGAAACAAAAGAGGTAATTTTGCTATAATATAAAGTCAAAGAAACGGTTGCGTTGTATTTGAGAAAATGTTTTAATTTGTTTTGCATGTTTGCGCGGTCGTTTTGAGGCTACAGTTTACAGTCAAACCGGGTCAAGCGTACGCCCCAAGATTCCATTAATGAATTTATTTTTCCAAAGTTTAATCCGTTGGTAGACGTAAATTTCAGGTTCATCTCTGCATTCTTGCATGCGTAATGAGCCGTGAATTCACACGCGAAGCAGTTATATTAAAATTTCTACCACCTCAGTTTCCCTGAATTCGACGTAAATGCCTCCGAAGCAATTTTATCCCTGCAAAGATTTTCAATCTGACCAAATACTGAGAAGTTCTTGTAAAATATTCACTTCTCATTACTCATGTAGGAATGCCAATTTGAATTTGACACCAGTTACGGGAACAACTAAAGGTTTCAATTCTCCAATAATCAATTCATTAATACAATTTTGGGGGGATGCGCTTGACCCGCCTTGACTGTAACTTGTCAATGATCTATGACACCCACTGTATTGTGTGACTGCTTTTAAAATTTACATGTGTGTTTTGAAAATAGTACTAAATACCAACCAAGACACAGACAGGATTGCGACCATGACAGCCTTTATTACAACACGTAAATAGGTAATCACTCAATATAGGCACAATTTTAAAATGACACAGCAAAACTAGTTACACTCAAATGGAACAAACAAAGGTATACGTCATAATTTGTAAAAAGAGAACGACTGTCACGCATAAAGTAAAGCATGAAGTAACTTGAGATCAGGCATTCTCTCTAACAGCTCACAAGTTTGTGCTCACTGCGGCCAGATTTTGGCCGCAACGCTGATTGGCTGTTAGAACAATGCCACAAGATCTGATTGGCTCTTGGAATCAACGGAAGTTATAAAAAGCGCTTATTCTTCGCGTGGTTGTTCGGGAATGATCAGCCGTATGCGGAGAGAAGGATCGATTTTGCTGTCTTTTCCATTGTTTTATGTTCTTATGGTAGGAAAATGTGCCTTAATATGTGCCACGGAAATTCAGAAAAATTCAGATGGTTGTTCATATCTTCTCAGGATTTGCTTTATTTACGGAACTAATGTGAGTGTATCGCAGAGTTGAATCCCTCTGCCAGTTGTTGACCGCGAACAATGTGTAGAATGTGCCTTTTGATTTACCAACAAACGAGTGCAAATCAAAATACTGTCCATCTTAAAACTGGTTTCATTTGAAAGTTTACCCTGGAATGACTTTTCTGAACGGGGTACGCAAGCGGAGGCTCACTTCGAAAGAAACCTCAATCGCCAACTGTGAAGTATTAGACAAAAAATATCGCATCGCTGTACATGTTCAAGGAATTTTTTGTAGGCATTATTATAAGCTAGTGGCGCTAGTCTTAAGGTAACAGACTTGTTGTTTGCCTTCGCTTTTTGTAAAAAATAAACCAGGAAAACCGGTGTCCTCGCTCGTTGGCTGTTTGCTGTTTGTTGATTTCGATTAATTTAACCTGCAGTGTCACACCACTAAAGAGAACTCTAAAGTGTGTTTGTAATATTGTTTTTCGTTTTGTTTATAGGTCAGTTGAGCATGCATTTTAGTAGAGTCGTTTCGTCTTCCCAAATTGGCAGATAATATTTACCTGGATGTGTAAAAAATATATTTTTTAGACGTTTGTTTCTCTAGTCAATTCGCAAATTGCAAGTGTACTCACGGGACTAAATCAGCTAAATTAAATGCACTTGAAAATTCGTTTGGTTTGTTCTGAGATAATTTATATAATCAGGCTTTGAAAAAGTTTGCGATTCTTTTCTCCAAGATTTTTAAAGATTTGTGTACTGAAAATCGGGCAAAATTGCCGTGGAAAATACAAAGGCAACAGAAAAATATAAATTTCAGTATTTTAAATTCGAGCGCGCCTAGCCAAAATATTAAAACTAGAACATCGTGTCGCCGTCTTTTCGAAAACGTTTCACCTTCTACGCCAACAGAAATAACCTTCAAGATCTCCTTTAATCTCGTATGAAGTTAAATGTGATTGTGCTGACTGTTTTATCTTTAGTTAAAAAATTAAAAGGTAAAAGCTCTTTCTTAAGTCAGCGAGTCTACAGTTTTCCCGCGTATGAAAAATTTGTATACTAAAGCAAAGATTTACTTTTTGTTTACCTTCAACCTAGTGTAAAAAAGAATTCGTAAAACCTCGCTATTTTGACTTTACAATGAATATACAACTAAAAACTACCCAGGGAGGGTAGAGTGGAAAAACTAGTAAATGCCAGCTACTTATGACTGTTTGCTAGCCGGGCTATCTTGCAAGTGAGTTTATAAGATGCTAGGCCCTGAATTTATACAAGCGTGCTTGTACTTTTACTGGCATTGAGTACAAAAGCTGATCGTAAAAACACTGGATACTTCGTGACGAGTAAAATATAACCTGATATGCCAGACGGAATAGTACTCAGTCTATGTAAAACTTGTACTAAGGTTAAGGCTGTCTTAGTCCCAGTACCCCATGTTTGATATTTAATTAGAAGAACATCACCAACCTGATGCCAACTGAAAATATAACCACGAGTTTCTAGTTTTCAGAATGATTTCATTAAAATAATTTTAGGTTTTGGTTTCATCACCGTCTTTTTTTTCTTACATTGCAAACTTAATTTGTAAATTTGCTGGAAGATTTATTTAATAGGCATAGGATGCTATGACGAATTATGACTGCAGAATTTTAAACAAGATACTATATGAGGAGCTCCAGGCATAATGTCGGTATAATGCTAATATTTTCTTTGCAAACTCATATCAAAGACTGTAGCTTGGATGATTATTTAGTTGCTGCGAGAGGGAATCAAGGAGAATGACCGCTTCAGCCGAGCATAATTTTAAGCATAATATCATGGTTTGACGGGTTAGGCTGAAAAGAATAAAATTCGATTTCACGAGCATAATCCGTGAGGATTGAGAAATGACAACTCAAAAAAAGCTTATACGAATGACAATGTAATTGACATTTGGCACCAAAGCAAAGATGCTCAACCCTTTAAGCCCTAGGAGTGATCAGCATCAAATTTCTCCTCGTGATATCAATGCTTTGTAAAACAGAGTGGTCATGAGAATTACAGACATGATCACACAAGATGAATTTGCTTAATTTTTATCAAGTTCACCCCACTGCTTCTGTAGGAAATGAATAGGGGCAACAAATGAGAATTCAAATTTTGATCTTAGGGTTTAAAGGGTTAAGTGGCAAAGCAAACTCTTTCCCGGGGACCGCTGGACCCTGGGAAGAGTCTCTTTTATCAAAGAACTGACGAATATTTTTTTACGATTATAACTCGTAATGAATATACTAACAATAATTTTATATTTTTTGAACTGGTGGATGGACCTTATCATCTTTTTTCCTGGGTAAATTGCTACAAGTTCAACTGTACAATACGATGCACCCGATATCGAAGAGTGCAGGGTTCGAATCCCGGCAAGCCTGAATTTTTTTAGGGCTTTCTTTTAGCAACTGCATGAGTTGCGTCTTCAGTTGCATTGATCTTTCCATCTATATATTTAGTTTATATGGATACGTTTTTTTTTTAATTTAAATAGTTTCTTCATTTGCATGGCTATTTTGGAAGTAAAGTTAGTGGATCAACCATTGGCATTGTTGGCTTGGGAAGAATTGGTAGCGCTGTGGCAAAACGGGCAAACGGCTTTGGAATGAAAGTTCTTTATCACAACAGAAACAGGCGTAAAGCAGATGACGAGAAAAAACTTGGTAAGATACTTTGTTCGTGTACAAGATGCTCCCCTTTTGAGTACATCTTCAATCGTTCAATCCGCTACCCTTTTTAAAGCAAGAACCTGATTCATTTCGTTTCGCATACAGAATTGTGTTCTGGAATATCCAGTAAGCATGGAATTAGATTTCTATTCCTTATGTACTTACTTTGTCAAATGTAGGCGAACCCAAATGGAGTTGAATTCCAAGGGACCATATCCAAGTTCAAGAGCGAAAAGAAGAATAAATTTCGTTGTTGCTTGTTTACGTTATCCATAAAACGCAAAATTAGGCATCTTCACGTCGTAGTCTTGCAAAAATGGCAAAGAAATGCAAAAATAGAAGCGTGATGCACGGGCAAAGTTGTTGTTTTGCTTATTAACCCTATTGTTTTGTTGAAGTTCTCGTTGCCGTCTTGTCGTTGGATATTCGTAGTCATCACGTGGACGCGCATGCTCGATGGAAAAGCAAACGGTTACTCGCAGTGGTTTCTTTCCCATCGAAGCGTAGCGTCCGGCCTGGAGAAACCACTGCTCGCAGGGTAGTTATCGGAAGTCGACTGTAGTAAATTGTAAACCCTGTTTTAAATTCAAGACCGGCCTGAAAACCACATCCCGTTAAGCGGTTCTTCAACCGAATCGGAGCAGAGGAAAAATATTCTGATAATCTACCTTACTTTCCAGATGCCCATTTTTGCACCACTTTGTCAGATCTGTTACCTCAGTCAGATTTTGTAGTACNAAGCATGGAATTAGATTTCTATTCCTTATGTACTTACTTTGTCAAATGTAGGCGAACCCAAATGGAGTTGAATTCCAAGGGACCATATCCAAGTTCAAGAGCGAAAAGAAGAATAAATTTCGTTGTTGCTTGTTTACGTTATCCATAAAACGCAAAATTAGGCATCTTCACGTCGTAGTCTTGCAAAAATGGCAAAGAAATGCAAAAATAGAAGCGTGATGCACGGGCAAAGTTGTTGTTTTGCTTATTAACCCTATTGTTTTGTTGAAGTTCTCGTTGCCGTCTTGTCGTTGGATATTCGTAGTCATCACGTGGACGCGCATGCTCGATGGAAAAGCAAACGGTTACTCGCAGTGGTTTCTTTCCCATCGAAGCGTAGCGTCCGGCCTGGAGAAACCACTGCTCGCAGGGTAGTTATCGGAAGTCGACTGTAGTAAATTGTAAACCCTGTTTTAAATTCAAGACCGGCCTGAAAACCACATCCCGTTAAGCGGTTCTTCAACCGAATCGGAGCAGAGGAAAAATATTCTGATAATCTACCTTACTTTCCAGATGCCCATTTTTGCACCACTTTGTCAGATCTGTTACCTCAGTCAGATTTTGTAGTACTATGTACACCGCTTACATCTGAAACGAGACACTTAATAGCAGCAAAGGAGCTGTCCCTAATGAAACCAACAGCAACATTGGTTAATATTGCACGTGGAGGAGTTGTTAATCACGAAGACTTGACTGACGCATTGAAGAATGGAGTGATAAGAGCCGCAGCGCTGGACGTGACAGAACCAGAGCCTCTGCCGAGAGATCATCCATTGTTGAAAATGGCGAACGTTACTTTGACGCCACACTTTGGATCAGCAACTGCAAACACGAGAATGAAAATGATGGAGCTGGCTGTGATGAATTTACGCGCTGGCTTAAATGGCGAGCAGCTACCTTTTGGGGTCAATTGATAAAAGTAAGGTTTCTTGTAGCCTTTTAACTATATTCTCCGTAATTCTTGCGAAAATTAGAACGCACAAAAGTTAAAATCGAGAAATTTAGTACAACATTATAATGTAAAACAGTCACAGATTTATGTACAGTAGGACCTCGATGACTCGAACTCGGCCGAACTCGAATTCCCCGCTAACTCGAACTAAATTTCCTTTCAGCGTTCGACCGGGGTTCTACTGTAGTTCCTCTGAGTCACAGAAAACATAACATTTTTGTTCACTTCGAATTTCGGTATAGTTTTCTTCCCCTGTTCGATTTAAAAAAAGTGTTTTTTGAGCAACAAATTTCTCAGTTCCTTGTTAAGCAAATCTGTGTATATAATTAAAAAATGGAAGAAAATATGACTAATGATTACTTGAGGAACATAAACTTGATTTCAAAGAAGTCTTTTCTTCCTTACTGTCACTAATGGCGGACAGTTTTTAAAACTGCGTTTTGGAAATCATTCCGGGTTGAGTAAGTGAAGGCCTCGAAAATAGTTTACCAGTGTAAAAAATTGGGAGACCGAGACGAAGGGTTTCCTTGGCGACTTAATAAGTAACTTATTAAACTTTGGAAACAAATCTCCGAACAGTCAAACGCGATGAGTGAAACTTCTCGTTTATTGTTTAGCCTTGTGACTGTTTAGTTTTATATCACAAACAAGGTTTTAGCCAGAAGGCTGTCCAGCCGTCTTATGGACGGCCATTTTTTGAAGAAATACAAGGAAAATGTACTTAATCTCTTATTATTTTATGGGAAAACATGCCTTCTGGACGGCCAAATTTCAATGTCTGGCTAAAAGCCTGATCACAGAAGATGTGTAAATATGGGAGGGATTTACAAAGCGTTTGTCTTTCTTGTAGACTTCTTAACAGTAGTGTTAACATGCGAGCAAGCACGTGGGAAGTATGTTAGGAATGGGCGAGGGGATTGTGAAGGGTTGAGAGCGACGCCTTTTCCGGTCCCTCCCTTGAACAGAGCTCACTCAGGCTACAACTCAATGCTGATATTAGTTTTCCTCCCAAGACTTAATAAAAGTACCCTCCCTTTACTCCTTACAACTACAGAAGCTTCGTTGCGATTGGCTAAGAAGGAAAGAGCGTTAGGACCGAATTAAAAGGTTGACTCTAAGCCGCCATCCTCTTTCTCATTATCCTTTGTCGGTCTCTGTACAGTTAAGAGATAAATCTTGGGATAAACAAAGTTTAATAGGTTCCAAAATAACAATTTAAAAGACATTGAGTAATACTTTTATATTAATGTGCCACTGCCGATAGATTTAAGCTAATCAAAAACCCATGCCCTACAGTACAATAGCGATTAATAATACCAAAACTTATACGCTAGCAATGATATTGGCCTGGTACGATGTTCAAAGCAGTTTTGTCTAGCATGAAAAATCATCTACAAAACATGATTATAGTCAGTGATTTTCTGAGATCCTACATGTTAACTGTCTTTCTAGAAAAATGTACGTAAATACAGATTGAGGATACCTTACACATTATTTTTCAAACTAATGACATTGATATTTGTCGTAGACTTTATACTTAAGATCGATTTTATTCGGTATATTTCCGCAAACCACGAACGTCAAGAAGTCACGTAACTAGTGCCTTGCCGTCAGGTTTGCAGTTTGTGGTTCACGTTTGTACGGCTAGACCACGCTCTAGAGGTAAGTGATTTACCGCAAGAATGAAACCAAACATGGCAGCCGCGAGCTACCACTCGCGAAAGTCCCACACGTAGGCAGAAAGGTAACGTGAAACCGCAAACCAAAAACCGCGGTTTGCCGTCGACAGTAAGATGGCCAAACCTCAATCTTAAACAATCTAATACATGTATAAAGCATTGGCGGTGCAGTTTCTATCCTTGCAGTAATGAAAGCTGCTCGACTTTTAAGGGTCGAATCGAGTATATTTTGTCTGGAGTACATTGAGAAAACTAAATATTACATATTTCCTGTAATCACATAAAGTCTTTCATTGGCATGAAATATCCGTTGGTGTTTCCTTGCTAGTAGAGGTCTCTCACGGCAAGGGGAGAAGGAGAGGAAAGAAAAAACGCATAGGCGGCCGGCAGAGGTCTCTATCTTTTCTATCATTTTTGGGGTCATGTAGTCACCATGCAATGGTGCGTTTCCCTCACCCCAAACAAAACTAAAACAATTAGAAGAATGACATGCTATTGTTTCCTGCGACCAATTAGGAGAGACCTTACGAGCTGCTCCTACACTACCCGTTGTCTTGCCGTGAGAGTTCTCTGCTAGCAGGGAACTTTTGTGTTACTATAGCTGGAATATGAATACGAAAGTATAGAGTTTAAGATATATGTTACACTTATAAAATGAAAAATGCCCACAGTTCCTTTTTACCCGTTAATCAAGATCGGTAGTTTAAGAACACTGAAGGAAAACTGGATAAACAGGGTCCGACACACCCCCTACAGAGCCAAGAATGAGGGTCAATTTTTTCGTGGAGAAGTATATAAAGAGTGTAATTATTCACTATTTACCCACGTTGTTGATTGGAATAGAACATCAAAGTTCTTTCTCATCTTTTACACCAGCCCTGCACCATTTTTAACATAGGACATCATCTGTTTTATAACGTAGGCGAGCAGTCTCTTATTTCTCGTTCCACAGCTCAGTGGGTTAGTTGTGTGCATACTTTGCGAGACGCGAGAAGCGATGGTGGCTTAAACAAGCAGCCTTTTTTATCCTTCGTGCGTGTTTGTCACGATGGACTAATAACAAAAGTTAAGAGATTGCTCGTACTCTACAGTGTTCTATATACTTTCTACGGTATTAGATCCCGGATAATTACCTACCCGCCTTACCTTGAGAAAGCATGCGAAATGATTTCTATGCGCTCAACTCAAAGGTTCGAGTTTAATTCGATTGCTCCATAATCACTGGTTAGGTTACCTCTTGTTATGGTATCAGGGTCATAGCTAGCAAACATCACAATGTGCACTCCCATTAGCAGAGCAAATGAAGACAAGATGTGCCAAAGATCGTGGTAGTCATAGAAACCAATAATAATGCATTTGTGGTTCTTATTACGAGATATCTCAGGAGTTTCTGCTTTATCTGTTGTCGGTAAGCCAATGAAAAATGCCAAGGCTGAACTTCCTAATGCAACGGTTGTAAATACATAAATAATAACGCAAATAAGTTTTTTATACCTACGGTCACGCCACAAACAATAGCATGATTTACCGAGTTTCCAACAAATAACAATTACGCTCTCTGTAATGCAGGTGAACAAAAGCGCGTGTGGAAGGCTACGGATAACCTTTTTAACGCTAAACAGACAAAACATCAAGACTGCGAGGTTAAGACCAATCATTAGACAAATCAATTTGCACCCTTTCATATTTTGTAGAGAGTAATCGTCAGGGTTCCAAGAAACTATACAACACCGTTTGCAGCATTTGCTTCTAACCCAACGCCAAAAGATTAACAAGCACCAGTTTTCAAGATACAATTTATAGCCAACCCAGTTAAAGATAAAGAAACCCCAAAGAGCAAGTGGTGTAGCCCAGGCCGCTGTTGGAATTAACCCTTCTTTGGAGTGATTCAGTGAACCGAGATAGTTTAAAATATAAAGTGGAACTATAAAACCAAGGTAGAAATTTGATGCTCCCACGTGACCTCCCCTCTCTCCAGCATGGTTTAACTGAATGCCATTATACATTACAACGACAATCAAGCCTGAAATAACAAACATAAACGCTGAATCGAACTGAAATGTCATCTTAGTCGGGCAGAGATGATAAAGCATTGAAAACAACCCCTCGAAAAGCAATGCCCAGGAAAAAGCGTAACCTATTGAAAAGGAAATTCTCCTCTTATGCGCCTCAGTACTATTACATTCCGCATTTTCTGCTACGGGTGGTGGCTGAGTTTGTCTAATTTTTTTGCAGCGAGCCAGTAATTCTGACTCCATATACCAAACAGACAACGCTAAAATAAAGGCATGCAGTATATAAGCGAAGTTGCTACTCATTAAATTAAACGGAATATCGCTACTTGATACCCTGTAACAAAAGTCGTTGTAGTAACAATGGTCTCTATCGCCTTCTTGAATCATCAAATACCAATCTGCATAAACAAACTGAAAAGCTCCCACCATCAAGACGCAACCGACAATGCATGTGATGTACGAATACGTTTTATGTCCTCCTGCAAACCAGTAGGTACAGAGAACTTTACACATGGCTCTGCAGACGTCTTTACGGGTCACTGGTTCAATGTGAAAACCCAATGGACTGACGTGTGGTTCTTTAAAACAGTACAGAGCCCAGACAGCTACAATGCCACCGAAGAAAAAGGGTGCCAAGCATATGAATGACATGGGCCCCCCATACGAGTAATTAAATGATCTTGTCACCGTTAATGTTCCAGTTTTACTAGCATTTAATGGCGTTGTACCTGCAGCGTTGTTCAGTGCAAGGCCAATGTACCAGCTGGCTGTGGAGTCGGTCAAAGGGGGAATAGATACCTTGGATAAAGTGATACGTCCTTTCTTTGCGAACGAAAGACGAATAGACTCGCCTTTATAGTCCACAACTCGTATGTTGTCCTTATTAACGTCCTGACAGATCCGTGAAACTTTCATGTAAGAGGGGACATCCGATTCTGAAGTAACCGTTATATCAAGCTGAGTCTTTGAGATGTCCTTAGGTGGGGTAAACTGAAATACATTTACAGTATTCCACTCGAATATGCTGAAAGGTTTTTCTTCATTGAGTTCTATTTCATAGTCTTGAGATGCTTCTATTGTGAAACGTACCCCTGGTGTTCCTGAAAACGTAAGGTGTTTTTTTGCGAAGTCGTTGCTTGAACGAGAAGGGCATAACGGCAGCCCTGTCCACCGCTCGCTAATTGCAGATTTTGGAATGTCCAGGTGACCCTGTAGGAAGGACTCGTCTTCATCAAGTACTGATAGGTGAAGAGACCCTGTCAACAGGGAATCACAGTAATTTATGGTAACTATTGAGGAACTATGCAACCCTTCGTACAGACAAAGTTAAAGGCGAAAACAATATACACTTAATGACTGGTCAGGAGGAAAAAAGAATCTGAATGTTTTTCAAGGCGGAACCGAGGTAACCTTAGCGTGTTCCAGGCGTTCAGATAGTTGAGCGCGGCGGTCAGTGGGGAGCGAGTTCAATTGTTTTTTCCTTCGTGAATTATTCTCCCGCGCTCTACTATCTGAACGCCTAACACTGTTACCCTCTGACGTCGTAGATTTTGCAATGTGCCTGGCAGTGCCCGCTCAGAGATTTTGGCCGAATACAGTTCCATTGTTAGATGTCATGTGACCTTGAAGTAACCAATCAGATAGCGCGCGCTGTTGGGAAAAACATTTGCAGCTGTATCAAATGAGTGTTACCTGTCCGTGTGAAATCAGTTTTTGTTCAGTTTATTCAAACCAATTGTGACCGAATGATTTAACGTAGGTAGTTTCTATTGGACAGTTACTCCAGCATAGTTACTATGCTATTTTGTGTTGGGCGCGGTCAAGGACGAAAATCAAACAAAAACATACAAGGCAGAATAAACTGTCGGTCTTTTGATAACCATTGCACTTTACTTACTAAAGTAAATAGTTTTTGTGGTTGGTAATGCGGGGTACCCTTATAAAGGCAAATAGTACTCTTACATAATTCATAATTAATTTATGTAGGCCAACACTGGGTTTTCGAATTGTGAGTCTTACAAATCCGAGGTCAGGTTTTTAGTAACTTCAGTCCGTGTCTCATTCTCTGCTACGCAGCGGTATTTCGTGATATCGTCTATCGGTCGTTAATTTTCGGGGGCTGAGGATGGATAATGGAAATAAAAGCATGGAAATTTGCGAGTTGTAATGATGGAATGATGACCTTTTGGGGGTGTGGAATTATGGAAAAACGGAAGTTTTCGAGTCGGAATAATTTTACGAAAAAAATAATGCCTCTTTTAGGGGTTGAATCATCAAATAACGAAGCTTTTCGAGAGGGAATACTGAGTGGAATAAGTGTAATGAACAGCCCATTATTCCTCTTCACACCCCGAACATTTACACGATATGAATTTAGACAAAATTTTAGGATGCCAACAGAAACGCAAAAGGCAAAATCTAGGAAATATTATTACTAATGGACTAAGCTTGAAGTGATCAAACAGGTAGCATCGTCGTAAGGCCTTCTACACAATTAGAAACAAATCGAAGATGCAAACGTACACTGTTATGGTCGTGAAGGCGCGAAACATCCGGCGCAAATGGTGATTAAATAGACCAAATTACTACCTCAACTGCTAGTACCTTAAGACTGTACATTTAGCTTACCTTCTTTTGAATCTTTGTTTCTTTTGCCTCTCAAATATAAAATACTGTTTGTGTTGTCTGTCTTTACGGTACAGGAGTAGACTAGGTTTCTTGATGAAGGAAGCTGAGAAGTTAACTGCATCAGCGAAGTCTTGATTCCATTTTTTCGTGATGTTTTTAACTCCACAAAGGTGCAGTCATCGTTGTAAAGTTTCGCTTGAGCCATAGATGGCCTTTCAAACCTGAAAGAGATCACAAAAAGGAGGGCTGCAACGCAAAAAAACATCTTGAACATGTAGCTTCATAAAAGGTAGACCAAAAGGTAGACACTCCCTAATTCTAGCTGGGAAAAGGCAACGTTGCACTCAGTATAAGACTTCCTCGGTTTCTTGGAAAAGGTAATTTCAGTTATAAGTGAAATGCTGTTTGACCTTTTGACCTCACTAGCTTGCAAATGTCGGTAGGTATTTGACGTACGTACTCAGCTTTATTAATGAACTGTCTATTGTTGTACCTCGAAGTGTCCAACAGAGACATGGTCATATATCTCTGTTTACAGACGTTCTTTGTCTCCATGTTCTTGTTTGTTTTGCTTGTCTCTCAGAAGCTTTCGTTCTTTCTCAAAATGTTTACATTAGCCCATTTTACAGTTATAGGTAAAAGTGAGAAAAGAGTTGACCATGTTTTGATACAACCCTTCCTGCTTTATTATATAAATTATGTTGTTCTTATGCTAACTAGTACAGAGAAACCTCTATTAAGCGGACACCTTCGGGACCTTCCCAAGGGCCCGCTTAATAGGGGTTTGTAAAAATTGCGCAGTGTTTGTTAATGATTAACATTCAACGGTTACTCTGTACTGTGGTAAAGTTCCATGTTGTTAAGGAAGCTAAGGAAGCTGTGCTGTACTTTGTGCAAGACTTTTAGGTGAACTTTTGACTGCTAAACGTGATGATTTATCTTTATTAATCGACTACAGTACGTATTTCAAGGACGTAATGTAATGGTACTATTGTCAATTCAGTCCGGTTTCCGGTTAATAGAGGTTTTTGACAATAGAAATTAGCCAAATACAATTTATTTTAGTGTACCCGTCACGCTTAATAGAGGTGTCCGCTGAATAGGGGTTCGTTATAAAGGGAAATATTTAACAGTTAATGAATCAGATGAACGAGGCTGAGTATCTTATGAAGAATTATGGAGATCGAGGAGGGTATTATCCGTCGTGGCTTACCTCCATCGATCCATCGATGTTCAGTCCATCTTCGATAGTGTACGTTTAGGTTTGTCCACCTCCGCAAATATTCTCCAAATAGCAGATGTCGCCCTCCGAGTTGTCTTCTTGCTGTTTTTGCTATGTTTTTAACTATTACTTCGCCTAGTTCCAGCTGTAGTTCTTACTCTTAAAACGAGTGAAGTGTCGGCCATTTTTGTTTTCACAACCAAAACAACTCAACCTCGTCCCCAGGTCTTCTCGGTTAACGGTTCATTAACCTGTAGAAGGCTGCATTTTTAACGTCATTTCCTCGTTAAACACAAAATTCTTCCAAATTTGGTCATCAGTAACTGGTTATGGTGAATTCTGCGTGTGCTTTTAGCCAATCACAATTGGGGAAATATTTTGATCAATAATAAAAGACGTTAATTTCGGGACCCCGCTTAGTGTCCGCTTAATAAATGGTGTTCGCTTAATTGGGGGTCCGCTTAATAGAGGTTTCACTGTTTCTTTTTTTCAACATAATTAACATAAGAAAAGAAAGGAGGACTGTATGGAAACAAGAGAGAATTGTGGGACAGAGAGGAAATCGTGGGGCGTTGGCCGGTATGAGTGAATAGAGAGCTTTAGATTCTAAGACGAGTACGACTACGAGTACGAGGTTTTCTCAATACTAAGTATTGCTCACGCGTGAGCCAGCGTTATTTTGACGGGAAAACGTGGTAACCGTCGTCATTCTACTACGAGTTTTTGGCGCGAATGTCGTGGCGACGAAAACAAGTTATCAAATGTTAGAAGTTTTATCATTTTGCGATCGGGAGAGGGCGTAACCTCCTTCACTAAAGATAACAATACTAACTTTTCTAAAGAAAAATGGTAAAATGAAGCTTTCTGGGAAGTCTATATTTTGAGAACACGCGAAAATCTCGTACTCGTGGTCGTCCTCGTCCTCGAATCTAAAGGTCTCTACTTTCCGTCAGGTAATTTTTACAATAAAGGTTGTAATTAAACGGAACTCTAATCCCTGGAACGTCCGCACATTTCAATCGATTTTTTGAAATGTCATCAAGTCCACGCGCGACTGCTTTAAGGTGATGTTACGCGGGACGATTCGCAACGACGATTTTTAGCGCCGCACAGCGTTACAACATTGTTGCGACATTGATTCAAATGGTAGCAACATTGTTCCAACATTGCAACGCTGTGTTGCGCAAAAAATCGTCGTTGCGAATCGTCCCATGTACCATCACCTTTAAAGCAAACAATGCAGATTATTAAAAAGGTGACACGCCAAGAGTGCATAATGTTTCGCTATTTGCTCATGACAACATACACTGAATAAAAGTTTTCTCCTGAAACCAACTTCTGATTATGCAAGTGGCTTACTATTAGTTATTAGCTAAGAAAGACCAAATATGTATCAATTAACATTATTACAGAGATTTCTTTCTCACTTTATCGCAGAAACAATTATATTTCGCAAGTATAGAACAACAG